GGGCGGAGCGCTCCGTCCCTCACGCTCTCGGAGGTGAGGCGCACGCGGCTTCGGGATGACCGAAGGGGCTACGGCGGATTTGGGGTGACAGCTCTGCACAAAGCAGCTTGGCTAGGGTACAAACCCTCCTTCTCCCCATGCGCAGCGCTCCTCGCCCAGGTGGGAGGTGGATGGATGCCCTAGGGGGCTGATACCTCCCTCTCCGGATTGGAAGCGGGGTGCGGGGTGGGGATCACTGCTCCGGGAAGAGAAATTCCCGGGCCGGGGTGTTGCGGCGACGGGGTTCCCTGATTCGTCGCGTTGAGGGTGTCTCCTAACCCCGTACACTATTTTCTTTCTCTCCAGCGCTGCCGTCTCCCCGCGACTGCCTGCACCTTTTCAGTGCTCAGGTGAGCCCGGAGGTTGTTGCTTCTCCGACTTCGGAGAACAGACCGAGAAAGCTTTTCGGAAAGCGAGGCGGCTGCTGCGGGCACAGGAGACGTTGGGGATCCCTCCGGGGGACTGTTCGAGCCCTGTCACCTGGGGAGTGTGTGCTGCGGTGGGGAAAACCCACAGCCCTAAGTAGGAACTCCCTTGCTTGTTCTCAGCCGGGAGTGTGGCGGTGAGGAGCCCGCACAGCCCTGCAGGTGTCCTGGTAATGCTCCAGCGCGGCCACCAGCTTGGAGGCTCGATGGGCATTGCCAGGTGCTGGGGTAACTCCCTCCGGGCTGGGAACCCGGAGCAGGCAGCCGGATGACGGTAGATGTTAGTCAACAACCTGGCAGCTGGCAAGTGAAACAGGAAGGAAGAGGAAGGCCCAGCTTTAGAAAGTTGGGGTTCAGTGATATGGAACCTAGCCAGATAGAGGCCCAGCCTTCCCTTTGGCGAGCGCACAGAAATCCATAGACCAGTCCATTTGGGGAGATCCATCACTCCACATTCACACACAACTCAAGACTTTTGTGTTTTGTTTAGGTGGTTTTTTTTTTTTAAATTTATATATATATATATGTTATACACACACACACACACACACACACACACACACACACACACACACACACGGTGTGTCAGGGGACTATGCAGAGAAAATGACCCTAAATGCCCTTAATATCTATGTTAGTGAGAGAAAGGCATTGGGAGGGAAGGTTTCTTAAGGAGGTACATGAGAAAATGACCATCAATAATTAGTAGTTTTTCAGGCAGGGAAAGTAATCAAAGCATTCAGGCCATTGAACTGGATCCATATTTTGGAAAATTTTATTAGTGTATTAGTATATTAAAATTTATTAGTGAGGTGCTCGTCCTGCTTTATTTTAAGTGGCCAAAGGGAAATTCCTGTTTCTATTGTCTGAAGATGTTTGTAGTAGTTTGTTTTATTTTTAGAAATGCTGATGCCCCTACACATTTTTATTCCAACATGGAGTCATTTTGATTCTTATTTTTATGAATAATGTAAGTTTTTTAAAAAAAAGTCTTTTTGAATAATGTACTTCAGAAAAAACCCACTTTTTTTCTTTTGTCACATTAAAGGAAAACCAAGGTTCTGAATTTAAAATTAGGGAGATATATGCTTATAAAGTTATAGAACATGAAACATACTCATTAAATTTAAAATTAGATGTGCTTATTAATTTGCAGAAGCAGGTGGAAAAGCACTTCCAGTATACTACTTTTAATGACACCTTTGGTCAGTATTTCTAGATTTTATTTACTTTTAAATCCTCATCTGAGGATATCTTTTTATTGATTTGAGAGCGAGAAAGAGAGAGAGAAATATCAATGTGAGAGAGAAACATCAATCAGTTGCCTCCTGCATTCGCCCAGACCTGGGATTGAACCCAAAACCTAGGTTTGTACCCTGACTGGGAATCAAACCCACAACCTTTTGGTGTATGGGATGATGCTCTAACCAACTGAACCACCTGGAGAGTTCTGAGATTATATTTAAAAGGACAAAAATTATAGTCCTTCCAACTTTACTTAAAATTTTTTCCTACATTTTAAGCCCCAAGAATCCAACAATAGTGAAAATACAGAAATTACAGCAAGTGTCAGTAAAGGATGAGGGCACATAACTGTTAATCGTATAATTAAAGGTGAAAATGTACCACCCTAAAAATCTTCCATCGTATTTTCCCCAGACAATACAGACTTAATAATGGCTTTTATAGCTAATGTATTCATTTCCTCTTAACCATTTCTTGATTTGCATCATTCTTTATTGAAATTAAATACATATTTTCCAGTATACAGTTGGACTTAAACGTTTGATGAAATTTCTATGCTTTTTTTTTTAAAGAATGCTTGCTTTCCTAGGGTCAGATGTTGCATAAACCTAGGCTGATTATATTTATGTTCCTAAACCCCACATTAAACTAAAATATTTACTTATTTTTTAAATATATTTTTATTGATTTCGGAGAGAGGAAGGGAGAGGGAGAGACAGACACAACAATGATGAGAGAGAATCTTTGATCTGCTGCTTCCTGTACACCCCTACCAGGGATTGAGCCCCCAACCCAGGCATGTGCCCTGCCCAGGAATTGAACCATGACCTCCTGGTTCATAGTTCAATACCCAACCACAGCCACACTGGCCGGGCTAAACTCAAATATTTTTGTGGCAATACTTATGCATACTATACATTTACAAATACTGTATTTACATATGCCTTATTTGTAGTTCATTTTAAAAATAATGTGGGATATATGTTTTTTAAAGAGATTTGTTAGATTGGACAGCCTTTTGAAAATATAAATGTGGTCCAGAAAGCCTTCTTTGGGCTTAGGTAGGTAGTAGTGTTTTTAACATTGTTAATGTTTTATCCATCTGTATCCAGAGTGCTGTAGAACTAAATGACAACTTATTTAATGCTCAGTGAACTATAATGCATTTCAGAATATGTGTAGAGTTAATGTGTTCACAACTAACATGATGATTTTGAGAAAGTGAAGAGTGAGTTAAAGGAAAATCGTAACATTGTCAAGATTTCTCAAAGTCGATGTAGATAGAAAACTGAAAGTTTTCACACATGATGTTGATAATCTATTAAAAATACTCTTAGGAGCGTTAGCAGAACTCACAGGTAGGGAACAATAGGATTACAAGCCCCTCAAAGCTTTTCTTCAAAATTAAGATTATATACAAGCATACCTTGCTTTATTGCACTTCAGTAGTGTTGCAATTTTTTGCCGATTGAAATCAAGACCTCCACCAGAAAAAGATTACCACTCACTTTATAGTGATACTCACTTCATTTTGGTGGTCTAGAACCAAACCCACAATATCTACAAGATATGCCTGTATGTGGAATTTGTATCTAATGATAATACTTTTCCACTTTCAAATTTCTTATCTATGGGTGTGTTCGATTTATTTTGCATGAGTGTATATGTGTGTGTAGTAAATACAATGGATTGGAGAAGGAGATGTGT